TTGGAAACAATGTCACCATATTTCCTGAGATTGATATCCTCTGTTTTCACAGACCCCTCCAGCACTCGGGGCGACATCTTCTGCCTCTACTGCCAGGATCCTACCTCTAAAATACTTGGGTGTCTCATCCTTAAACTTCAAAAAAACCTATGTGGTCTAATGGTCCTGTTAAAAATGAGGAAATGAAATGACATTGTTAATGGAAATCAAAACACAACCTGTGCCATTAAGGAGGATATTTTGCTTTTTAGTCTGTTGGAAAATTACTGCCCGCGTGCAGTGACTGTGGGCCTGGGGCAGTGCAGGAGCAGTATAAAAGTGAGCTGTTCTCCTCACTCTCTCATCCACTCCTCTTGCCTCCATCTCCCTGGGGATAAGGTCAGCTTGGAGCATGTTCTTTTCTCCCTCTTACTTCTCATTGTCCCGTTCCTCTGCCTCCTCTGTGATTTCTCAGCACATATCTGCCTCCTGTTCCTGAGTGTTGTGGTTGCTTTCCATGGGAGAGGGAAGGGAGCAGAAGGTGTCGTGTGGAGAGAGGTTGGGTCTTGGCAGTCTCTTGAGCTCTTGGCTTGGTGGATACCTCCCTAGGCTTGATCACCTTGGTGGGGTTCTTTTGGACTGAGGATAAAGAATTGTCTCATTATGCGGTGACAGGCTGCTCTTAAAAAATCCCTTGTTCTTTGCTTCCCCCTCCCTTGTCTCTCAGGTGCACCTCCAGGCCCCAGACATGTCCTGCTACAACCAGTGCCTGCCATGCCTGCCATGCCGGCCCTGTGGCCCAACCCCACTGGCCAACAGCTGCAATGAGCCCTGTGTCCAGCGGTGCCAGGACTCCACCGTTGTCATCGAGCCCCCTGCTGTGGTGGTGACCCTGCCCGGACCCATCCTCAGCTCCTTCCCACAGAGCACCGCCGTGGGATCCTCCACCTCTGCTGCTGTTGGCAGCGTCCTCAGCTCTGCGGGAGTGCCCATCAACTCTGGGGGCTTTGGCCTCTCTGGCTTCGGCAGTGGCATCTGTGGCAGGAGGTGCTTCCCCTGCTAAAGCTGCTGTCTGCACCGAGGCCTCCACTCGCATCAACCTCCTTTCCCTCTGTTGACTCATTAAAGTTCTGCTGCATCCCAGCCTGACCCTCTGTCCCATCCTTTCCTCTGCACTTGCAAGATGTTTTCCCAGGATGCCCAATGAAAGACATATTGCTCAGGCCTGCTTCTGGGAGAACATTGCTGAGGATGGTTTTGCAATGACACAGGTTTGCTTTGAGCACTATCCCACAGTCCTCCTCTGCAGAGCTGCTCTCAACCATTCATCCTCCTTGTTGTATTGATATAGGGGATTGACCCTACCCAGGTGCAGGCCATTGCACTTGGCCTTTTTGAAGATCTTGAGTTTCACATGGGACCTATCCTCAAACTTGTCAAGACCCCTCTGGATTGCATCTTTTCCTTCATGCACATCAGTTACACCCCTCATCTTGCTCTCATGTATAAGCTCGATGAGGGTGCACTCATCACTCATAACATTTAGTGAGTAGAGCAAGTTGTGTGGAGAGTGGCCAGGATGGTGATGGGGCTGGAGCACTTCCCTGGGTTGAAGATGCTGAGGGAATAGGGCCTACAGCATCCCAGAAGATGGTATGGGACTTGTACAGTGCATCAGGCTGTTGCTTTCAGTGGAGTGTAACAAACTCAACACCCTTTACAAAAGGACATGATCTCCCACAGAGCACAGCCCATGCCTGCCTTTCCCTTCTTCCACTCCTTCCTTTCCCTCCTGTGGCCTTGTTCTCTTGTGCTCCCCTGGGCTGTGAGCACCACAAAGCCAGCCTAGGGAGGACCTGCTGGACTCTCTCCCTCTGTAGGGTAGGCAGATGGACACCTGGTAGCATCATGGCCATGGGACAGACTCCTTTCCACCTTTGGTTCTCTGTTTACTGGGTCCTCCACTCAGATAGACATCATTTACTTCTTTTGAGTCTTTAAATGTCTTCTGCATGCAGTTGTATAATATCTGGATGTGATAGAGTTAACTTTTCCCTTAGCAGCCATTATAGTTGTCTGCTTTGTATTTATCACAGTGTTGATAGCACATAACTATTTTAGCTTTTGCTGAGCAGTGCTTGCAGTCTGTCTCTCTGAGTGACCAAAGCGATATTCCATACTATATGACATCATGTTCAGCAGTGTGGTGGGTTGACCCTGACTAGATGCCAGATGCCCACCAAAGCCCACTCTATCACTCCCTTTCATCCACTGGACAGGGGAGAGAAAATATAATGAAATCTTGTGGGTCGAGATAACGACAGAGAGAGATCACTTACCAATTACTGTCATGGACAAAACAGACTCAAATTAGGGGAAAAAAAAATATATGTTGCCAATCAAATCAGTGTGAGTCCTTCCCATGAGTGATAGTCTTGCATGAACTGTTCCAGCCTGGGTCCATTCCATGGGGTGCAGTCCTTCAGGAACAGACTGCTCCAGTGTGGGTCCCCCACGGGGTCACAAGTCCTGCCAGCAAACCTGCTCCAGCCTAGGCTCCTCTCTCCACAGGGAACCTCTCATGACAGGAACCTGCTCCAGCACAGATTTCCCACAGGGTCATAGTCTCCTTTGGGCATCCATCTTCTCTGGCATGGGGTCCTCCGTGAGCTACAGGTGGAGATCAGCTCCACCATGGATCTCCATGGACTGCAGGGGACAGGCTGCCTCACCATGGTCTTCATCAGAGGCTTCAGGGGAATCTCTGCTCTGGTGCCTGGAGCACCTCCTCCCCCTCCTTCTTTATTGACCTTGGTGTCTGCAGGAGTTGTTTCTCTCACATCTTCTCACTCCTATTTCCAGCTTCAAATGAGCAGGGTTTTGCTTTTTTTTTTTTTGTCTATCCCCTTCTCAATTATGTTATCACAAAGGCGTTACCGTCATGATTGATTGACTTGGCCTTGGCCAACAGTAGGTCCATCTTGGAGCCGGCTGGCATTGGCCCTGTCAGACACAGGGGAAGTTTCTGTCAGCTTCTCACAGAAGCTACTCCTATGCCCCAGTCCCCCTCTGCCAACACCTTGCCAAGCAAACCCAATACGAGCACTAAAAGCTAAGTGAAAGAAGGACAATGTGGGTGCATTTGTTAACAAGGTGTTTGCCTTTTGAAGCAACCACTGTACCTACGCTGGCAAAGCTTATAATGAGTGTCTGAACAACGTCTTCTGAGGGCAATTAGAGAATAAGTGCTTTGCTTCCATGTGTGACCTTTGTTTTTCTTTCTGAAACTGTTTCTATTCACCAGTGAGTTTTTAATCTTATTTTATCCCCACCGCAGTGAGAAAGGGGCCATGCTACAGGGTCTTGGAGGGTACCTGTTGGCTAGACAAGGTCAACTCACACCAGTCTTTTTGATGTTCAATGTGGGACTTGAGACAGAGGCAATTTTGAACTGAGCATGCCATAGTTGTAGTACTTGCTGGTTTACAGGCTTCTGTGTGGGTCAGAGAGTTTGCTTGCTGCACTGCTCATCTCTGTAGTTGTCTGAGCTTGGGAACATGGTAATAGAACCAAAGGCTGTGTGCTTTGCCCTGACATTGAGGCCCTTACTGTGCTGGGGAAGTTGTCTTGTGGAGAGGATGAAGGAATGCACCTCCCTCTTCCCGTCTGGGACTGATGTGGGTTGTTTTGTTGTGCAGGCTCCCCAGGTCCTTGTTCAAGCTTACATGTGTGAGGTGTTTCATACTATTAATTAACACTGTTGGCTTACTGTGGGGTTTGTGGAGTCTGGTGTCATGCTAGTGTAAGGAGAATCGACTTTTGGGTGTGGAAACAGTGAAACATGCCCTGAGGTGTCCGGTCCCTTGGTGGCAGCTTTTAGCACTGTATTAAATCTTGATCTGTGCCTTTTGGGTCACTGTTCAGTACTATGAGAAGACCATGGTTAAGATGGGGACCCAAACCACCTCTAAGAATGCCGTGATTGAGCCAGGGATCCAAACTACACTAAGAACATGATGGTTGAGGCAGAGACCCAAAAAACATATGAGGACACCATGGATGAGATATGGACTCAAATATTTGCCCCAGTGTTGTAAAAGAAATAGGGGACAAGGAGGTGAACATTTCTGTGTAATCAGTTAGTAAAAGAATGAGGAGGAGGAGGAGGAAGAGTCTGATTGGGAAGCCAGTCCTTCAGCAAAGGTATAGGTCAAAAATTAGAAAAGACGTAATGCACTAGTCTCTGGAGGCATCTCCTGTTAAGTATGAGGGAAATATGTCTGTTCAAGGAAGGTCTTGTGAATTACTAAAGAAAGTGAACTACTGCTTAGGAAGGCATCGAATACCCGAGAGAATGAGTGGTACTGAAAGTCATCTATGGTGACCGCAATTACAATGAGGTCTCCAAAGGTCTGGATAATGTCCTGTGTATGTGGACCATGTGAAAAAGGTAGTCCAAAATGCACCAGTGTCATATTCTAACAGGTTGGCAACAATGAATTGCCCAGATTTGGATACACCAGCTGTGGGGAGAGCTTCTTCCTATCTCTGAAATTTGGAAGAAAATCTCTCTCTCTCCTTGTCCCCACAGGCTGGCACATCATCAGTGAGGGGCAACCAATGGAGCCAGTCCCTTCCTGCTGTGGGCAATGGGAAAGGAAGACCGAAGACCATGCTGCGTGGCCCTCCTGGTTCTTTCTGTGTGGCTGGGGGAAGTGGGATTGTGAGCCCACTTTGAAGTTGTAAGCTTGTGTATGCAAACTGAGGAGGAAGAATATTCATCGTTTGGCTTGAATCAGTAAGTTTAAAATGGAATGAACCACTCAGAGTCAATCACTGAGCATTAGCATGAGTAGCTGTATTTGCTGAGGCATTAGGCCACAAGCTGTGGACTTTCACCTAGATATGCTTTTGGTTGGAATAATTTTCTCAGTAAATTTCCTAGTAGCTGTACAGTGTTGTGGTGGCCCCTGGCCATCAGGCCCAGCTTTCTCAGCCTCTGCCCAGGTGTGCGTTCTTGGCTTCAGTGCACTTGCTGTGGAAGGGACGTGTGGCCACGGCTGATGGAAGTTGAGGATCCTGGGCTGCAGGAAGCCCTGGAAGAGCAGCAGCTTGACAGTATCCTGGGAAAGGGCCAGGCAGGGAGAAGAAGACAGAGGGGAGGAGGGGTAGAAATTCCTCTTACCTTTGCTACTGCTGTGCTGGGGGAGGAGAATCAAGCAGGAAACAACACCCATTCTGTATAACATCATACTCAACAATGAAACTGTGGGCAGAGCCCTGATCAGTATCTGTCTACGTAGTAACCAGCCCTGTCTCTCTACACAATCTTTGGCCATTGACAAGAAACAGACCAAAAGTAGAGCCAGGAAAAAGTGCTTTTGCACTAATGCCATCAAAACAAGTGCAACTCCCAACACTGTTCCTGGACACCAAGGATTGTCATCAACAACCTGGACTGTATGGCCAGTGTGAAGAAGTGTGGCCAGTAGATCGATGGGAGCAATGATTCCACTCTGCTCAGCATCCATTTGGAGGCATCTAGAACCAAACACCATCTGGTGTTGAACTTTGGGCTGTAATGACACAACTTTGACCAGCTGGAATGAGTTCAGTGGAGGCTGGCCAGGATGATCAGTGGGCTGGAGCACTTTGTTGGAGGGGAGAGGCTGAGGGCGCAGAGTGCGCTGAGTGTGGAGAAAAGAACGCTTTAGTAGGACACTTAAAAGCATCTTTAGACTGATTATGGTCATTAAACAGTTTTGGGTAATTCTTCCAGGCCCAGAGAAGCAGAAAAGTTCAGAAAGCAAAGGGTCATGCTAAGTATGACTAAGCATACTGAAAGCTGTGTGTTAACAACCACAGTGTTATCGTCCCCAACAACATCCTCCCAGAACCATCCTGAGCAACAGTTGTCTCCTGTGGCTTCTTGGGAGTGTCTGCAGAGAAAAGAATGACACAGAGGCATGGGCCAGGATGCAGCAGAACTTTAATGAGTCAAAATGTAAGAACGAGAGCATTCTGAGTGGAGAACCAAGTGCAAGGACCCTCAGGGGCAGACAG